AAGAACACAAGGAAACAGCCAGACAGCAATGAGGGCTTACCGCTCAGTCACTTGACCTCCACCGCCTTTCTCCTTTTCTGTTCCGAATCAACCACAGGCTTGGTCACACCGTCCGCAAAGGTATCAATTGCAGTTGACTTTGCTTTCAAAACAGTTAATCCATTCTGGTTCTGACCAAAACATACTATTCTTCAAGCTTGATTGTTTAAATACGCCCACAATACCTATTTAATGACCTTATCAAGATTTCCAGTTGGTTGACCTTTCTGACTTTTCCCAACCCACCAGCCTTCTCCCCTAGTTTTCTTTCTTATTCGGCTCAGACTCAAACTCACCTGAAGCCTTTTGGCCCCTCACTTTATCGCTCTCACGTGCTAAAGCCCCAGCCTCACACTCCATGCCTGCTCTTTAACAGCTTGGTGCAACTGGAGAATGCCACACAGGAGGGCAGATTAAAGACTCTAATTTTTTTTTTTAATTTTCATGTTTATTTTTGAGAGAGGGAGAGAGACCGAGCACGAGTGGGGGAGGGGCAGAGAGAGAGAGGGAGGCTCAGAATCTGAAGCAGGCTCCAGGCTCCAAGCTGTCAGCACAGAGCCCGACGTGGGCCTCGAACCCACAGACCAAGAGATCATGACCTGAGCTGAAGTAGGACGCCCAACCAGCTGAGCCACCCGGGCGCCCCTAAAGACTGTAAATTTAAGATCACCATCCCAAATTGTTGGGAGGACTTTTTACCACAGTACCAGGCACGCTCCGAAGAGTGAAGAGGTGGATACAAAATGAGCAGCAGGCAAGAGCTTATTAGAATGTAAGATTAGAAAGGAAGAAGAGTAGAAAAGCTCTCTTTACAGAGAGGGCACTTCCGGGGACTATAGGCAAGGGTCCTTGTTTCATAAGGTTCTGGTCAGTCCTCCGCCATCCCTTCCCCCTTGTTCCTTCTAAGGATCCCTTATGGGTTTGAGGGTTCTAGGTGCTGGGTCGTCCATTCCTGATTGGCTCCTGTCCGTTAGATGAGGGGTGGTCTATGGCCGTACTTTGGTCTTTTGTCAAGTTCCAGAAGGGACACCTGAGGGGAAGAAGGTGGAGTCTGTTACATTCTCCAGAGGAACTTTATGCCTCAGGGGACTTCCTGCGGTCAGACACTCCCAGCATTGTTCCAAAATAGGTGTTTTTCCCCAGCTGAGACCTCAGGTCCTCATCTTTCCTTCTCTGCCTACCACGTCCTATCTTCTATCATCAAATGGGCCCTTATAACCATACAGAATAGTGAACCTACTCAGTTTTTCTTAACAACTTTCTCCCCCCACTTTGGGTGGGTGGAGGTGGAGATGAGTGAATATATTTACACCCTGGTAGCGGGAAAAGTCTTTCTAAGCCTTGCCAAAATCAAAAGTAAAGCAATTTAGTAACAAAGTTGATTTCCTTCACTCGAGGGAAAACAATCCGTGGATTTCAAACCCTGTCCTTCTGGCTCTTTTAAAATCATGCCTAAGTGCTTAGGCAATGAGTGATTAAGTCACTAGCCATTGGTGATCCACTTAACCTCCAGCCCCTTTCCCTCCTAGAAGGTCAAGGGGTAAAACTGAAAGTTCCAACCTTCTAATCACACAGGTTGCTTCCCCTGGCAACCGTCTCCCCCTCATCCCCACCCACCTGTCACTCCCCCCCTTAAGTGACCTGGGGCATTCCAAAAGTTGCCTCATTAACAAAACAAAAACCACTTTATTCGCTCTAGACACAGGAAATTCTAAGGCTTTTAGATATAAATCTTTTTAGGGGCGCCTGGGTGGCTTAGTTGGTTAAGCGTCTGACTTTCTCGCTTAGGTCATGATCTCACGGTTTGTACATGATCTCATGGTTTGTAGGTTCGAGCCCCGCGTCGGGCTCTGTGCTGACTGCCAGCTCAGAGCCTGGAGCCTGTTTCAGTCTGTGACTCCCTCTCTCTCTGACCCTCCCCTGCTCACGCTGTCTCTCTCTCTCTCTCCTAGAAATAAATTTAAAAAAATAGATATAAATCTTTTTATAAGAACAATTAATAATGGCATCGTTCACAATAGTTTAAAGAAAAATGCTAAGATAGGCTTCACTGAGATACCTAAGAAGTTCCCAGCCCCCTTATGGCCCCGCAAAAGACTGCCTTGTATCTGTATCGCCCCGCCAACCCAGGAGGACGGGTGAGGCCAGAGACTGAGCCAGTCTGACTCCATGATGAACAGTGGGAAGGCCCTGCTTAGAGCCATATCCTGAATGCTCAAACAAAATGTTTTAAAACTGAAGTAGTTTTGTAGAAAACACACTGACTTTTAGCCCCATGGCGTTCCTTGTCTGGCTAAATTGTACAATGTTTCAGTTTCTGATTTTCCTCATGTGACAAGCACTTTATGTGTTCATCAAACTCTTCTCTTCCTGGACTGTTTCTGTCTTTCTTAGAGTTGGGCGGGGCCACATGCCTGATTTTTAGTTAGTGGAATTGGGTCACAAGCAATGTCTGTCATCTCCAGTCCTTGATTCTAGAACACTCTTTCATGCTGCTTAATGCTTTGTCTCTTCTCTCTCCCCTCCTGCGTATGCTCTCTCTCCTGGGAGCTGGCTGAATGTGGAGAATTCAGTAGAGAGTTCCAAGGCCATAGGAGATGGTGGAGTGACCAGATGGAAGGAATCTGAGTCCCTTAATAACTACAGGCAGCAAGGACATTCTCAACCAATTTACATCAGGCTTCAATGTAAGCAAGAAATAACCTTTTTTGTGTGTTTAGCCACTCAAAGTTCAACACATTGTTAAATACAATAGTAACTCATTCTATAAATTCTGACTAATAAATCATCTATTACATCTTAGGAAGTTCTGAGTCAGAATCAAATAAAAACTGGTTCTGTTTCCCTTTCGCATCTTAGAAATTGGCTTCATGAAATTGTTTGTCCTAAAAAACACACAGCACAAGTCCCTATAGTTAAAACCCAAGATGGCCTCCAATTAATCTCATCTCTTGGGATCCAAGCCCTTGTGTGGGCCACTCCCACACTGAGTCCCGGCTGGCTGGTGTTACCAGTAGAATCCTGCAGAAGAAATAGTATGATTCCAAGACCCTGGCATTAGAGACAGGGCAATTTCCACCCTGGTGTCTCTTAGATGCTTGCTCTGTAGAAAACCTGCTTCCACATGAGGACATCTAAGCAGCCCTGTGGACAGGGACACGGCAAGGAACAGACCTTCCATCAACCACCAGCACCGACTTTCCAGCTACGTGAACGTGCCACTTGGGAAGCATATTCTCCAGCCTCGGTCAGACCTGGAGACGACTGCAGTCCTGGCCGACAGCTGGACTGAAACTCGCGAGACATCCTGAGCCACGAACACATGGATGCATTGCTCCCGAATTTCTGATGGAGCTGATATAATAAATATTTGCTGTTGTTTTAAGCCACAATGGATTGGAATAATTTGGGATGCAGCAGTAGATGACGCAATCTGTGATACCACTGATTGTTAAAATTCCTAGATTCTTTTTTTAATCTATTTCCTTCAGCGTTTTTGAGACATAGTGACATATAACGTTGTATAGTTTAAGGTATGTAACATAATAATTTGATATAATGTATATTGCAAAATAACCACTACAGTAAGGTGAGTAAACACATTCATCACCTCGTAGTTACAGTTGTGTGTGTGTATACATCTATATGTGTGCACGTGTGTGTGTATATGATATACACCACCTCTTCTTTTTTTATATATATATATTTTTATTTATTTCTAGGGGAGAGAGAGAGAGAGAGACAGCATGAGCAGGGGAGGGTCAGAGAGAGAGGGAGTCACGGACTCTGAAACAGGCTCCAGGCTCTGAGCTGGCAGTCAGCACAGAGCCTGACGCGGGGCTCGAACCCATGAACCGCGAGATCATGACCTAAGCAAAAGTCGGACGCTTAACCGACTAAGCCACCCAGGCGCCCCAACACCACCTCTTCTTTATCAATTTCTGTTGATGGACACTTAGGTTGGTTTCGTGTCTTGGCTTTGTAAATAATAATGCAATGACAATGGGGTGCAGATATCTCTTTGAGATAGTGATTTCGTTTCCTTCAGATATATACCCCAAAATAATTTTGGTGAATCATATGGTAGTTCTTTTTTTTTTCTTTAAGTTTTTTAAAGTTTTTAATTTATTTTATGGTAGGGGCCGCTGGGTGGCTCAGTTGGTTAAGTGTCCAACTTTGGCTCAGGTCATGATCTTGAGAGTTCGAGAGTTCGAGCCCTGCATAAGGATCGGTGCTGACAACTCAGAGCCTGGAGGCCGCTTCATATTCTGTGTCTCCCTCTCTCTCTGCCCCTTCCTGGCATGCCCTCTCTCTCTCTCAAAAATAAACATGAAAAAAACTAAAAAGTAATAAATAAAATTTTTGTTTTATTTTATTTTGAGAGAGAGAGAGCACATACAAGCAGGGGAGGGGCAGAGAGGGAGAGGGGGGGAGAGAGAGAGAGAGAGAGAGAGAGAATCCCAAGTAGGCTCCTCACTGTCAGCACAGAACCCTGTGAGGAGCCTGAACTCACAAACCATGAGATCATGACCTGAGCAGAAGTCAGACTCTTCTCTGATTTAGTCACCCAGGGACCCCTTATTTATTTATGATGCTATTGTGAATGGGATTTTTTAATTTTTCATTTTTAGGTAATTTGTTGGTGGTGTATAGAAATACCAACTGAAAACTTCTACAGTCCAATAGCACTCTTTCGTGGGGCATCAGTGTCTGCAATCAAAACAGTGTACACAAGGAATCATTTTTTTGTTTATTTATTTTTGAGAGACAGAGACAGACACAGCATGAGTGGGGGAGGGGCAGAGAAAGACACAGAGTCGGAAGCAGGCTCCAGGCTTTGAGCCAACAGCACAGAGCCGAGTGTGGGGCTTGAACTCATGAACCTCGAGATGACCACCTGAGCTGAAGTCGGACACCCAATCGACTGAGCCACCCAGGTGCCCCACACAGAATCATTCTATTCATCTCCAGGTCACAGGAAGTTGTATCAGCCCTGTAGCTAAAAGGATATGGGGTGGAATCGTTTGGTAATGGCACTTTTGAAGAGTAAGTCTGAACAACGTAAGCTGATTCTGACATCTTCTTAAAATCTTTAAGCAGGGAGGGAGACTCTGGAAAGAAAAACAGAATAATGTTTTTCTTGATACTATTATAACCACAAACATTTTAAAACATTAGTTGGAAGACTATTGAGCAACTTTCAAGAGAATACAAATGGGACACCTACATTTCTTCAATAGGATGACACACAGCAAGATGGGAAAAGAGAATGTCTGCAACTCTGTATAGCCAGGAAGTGTGGTAATCATAATAACATCAAATTAATGTGGAGTCCATGTGTATCTTAAACCAGTTTGTTCTCTTCTCCCACTTATTTCCTGCAGAGAATGTCTTGTTCTTCTCACATTTTTTTTTGTTTTAAGTTTACTAATTTATTTTGAGAGAAAGAGAGAGAACGGGGAAGGGGCAGAAAGAGAGAGGAAGAGAGAGAATCCCAAGCAGGCTCCATGCTGTCAGCCCAGAGCTGGGTGACGGGCTCAGTCTCACCAGTTGTGAGATCATGACCTGAGACAAGATCAAGGGTCCGACTGAACCACCCAGATGCCCCACTCTCACACTTTCTTAAGATAGGTCAAGAAGTTAAATAACTAAATTTCAATATAAATGGCAAACATGTCAATTTATTAAAAAAAAAATCAAAGAAGGATGTTTCTGTGGGCATCAGAATCTTTGTCCTTTAACGTGACTGGCCAGAGGGGCTCCTGGAGGGCTCAGTCGGAAGATCATGCAAGTCTTAATCTCAGGGTCATAGGTTCGAGCCCCGCATTGGGTGTAGAGATTACCGAAATAAATAAAACTTTAAAATAATAAAATAAAGTAAGGTAACTTACTAGAATTATGCAGTGGAGTTCCAGGGCATACAGCGTCATCCAGACAACAGGGTATCTGGGCCAGTGGTCCTCCTTCCCAGGTGGGTAGTTGACAAAATTCCTCCAGCAGTGATCATACTCTAAGGAAACACACATCTTGGTTCCTTCAACTAATAGAGCAGAAAGTGACTTTAAGAGCGCCCAACTTGTAGATATACTTTACATAAAGCCCTTCAGCCTATTTGCCATCGGAGATGGGCTAACCTGCCCACAATCCCTAAAAAGAACAACATGCTTTATTTGAAGATGGCTGATAGGTCTCCATGGCAGGTTGGAAGCATCAAAAAGAGAGCCCTCGTTTTCCATATTTTCCTTGCTATGAAGGGCAAACTTAGTCCTTTCTCATGTTATTTTGGACTTTTGCTTCTTTTTTTTTAAGTTTTTTTTTAACGTTTATTCATTTTTGAGAGACAGAGAGACAGAGCAGGAGTGGGGGAGGGGCAGAGAGAGAGGGAATCGCAGAATCCAAAGCAGGCTCCAGGCTGTGAGCTGTCAGCACAGAGCCCGAATCGGGGCTCGAACCCACCAACTGTGAGATCATGACCTGAGCCAAAGTTGGACGCTTAACCGACTGAGCCAGCCAGGTGCCCTTTAAAGGTTATTTATTGGGGCGCCTGGGTGGCTTAGTCGGTTAAGCGTCCAACTTTCGCTTAGGTCATGATCTCGCGGTTCGTGGGTTCGGGCCCGGTGTCGGGCTCTGTGCTGACTGCCAGCTCAGAGCCTGGAGCCTGTTTCAGAGTCTGTAACTCCCTCTCTCTCTGACCCTCCCCTGCTCCCCTGCTCATGCTGTCTCTTTCTCTCTCCTAGAAATAAATAAAACATTAAAAAATAAATAAATAAATAAAGGTTATTTATTTAGGGAGAGACAGAGAGAGAGCACAAGTGGGGGAGGAGCAGAGAGAGGGAGATTTGAGGCAGAGGATTTGAAGCAGCCTCTCATCAACACTTAAGATCCTCTGTTCATTGTTTTTACCTGGGACTCTCATGACCTGGACAGTCACACCACTGTTAATGAGGTCCCTGAGCCCTTGCCGGTTTTGCTGATCCACATGCCAGAAAAGGCGAGATACATAAATAACCAGAGTCATGCCAGGATGTTGGCTCAAAAATTCTCTAATGGCCTTGGAACATTCCCAACAGGGACTCCAGGACAGGAACCAGGTGATGGAGCAGCTGACGGGTGTGCAAAAACGTCTTTCTGAAGTGAATTTTTCTATAAAATTGAGCTCGACGTGTTTGGTGGTATTTTTGCCTGAGTTTCGCCAGATCTTGTGGCTTGTGCCCCACTGGATTTCATAGAGCAGACAGGCCTCTTTGCGGAGTTCTCTGGGGTCGAAGAAGACTTCAAATTCCCAGGGCTCAATTCTTCTTCTGAAACATAAAAAGCACCCCCATGTTATCATGTTATCAGGCAATCTTTAGAGGGACCCTAGGAATAATTTCATGGTCCCCTCCTCTATCACACGGATCTAAAACATGACATCTTAGGAAAGTCTTTTTTTCCTAATCTATTTCTCAAAGTTACCTAAGTAGGTCCATTTGAATTATCAGAGTTTCTCTCACAAGCAGAGTGAAGAGGGTTTTCCCAACTCAGGTTATTTAGCTCCACTGTCTGATACTATTGCTCAGTAGTTTTGAATTCAGGTATAAATATGTAGAGATGCCATGTCCCAATTTCTACTCTTCAACATTCCTCAGTGGACTCTAACTAGATTTTAGGTAGAAGCCTCGAACTGCCAACAAGATTCTATTGCTGGGGAGCCTGGGGGGCTCAGTGGGTTAAGTGTCCGACTTTGGCTCAGGTCATGATCTCACGGTTTGTGAGTTCGAGCCCCGCGCCAGGCTCTGTGCTGACAGCTCTGAGCCTGGAGCCTGTTTCAGATTCTGTCACCCTCTCTCTCTCTCTCTCCCCTGCTTGTGCTCTGTCTCTCAAATATAAATAAATGGGGAAAAAAGAAAAAAGTTTCTATTGCCAAGTCTGAAGAGAGAAAAAGTCAGCCTCAGGATTCTTCCCCCTGAGAGTCTGTATACTAATTCCTCAGATGAAAAAAATTCAAATCGCTCCCAGTGACCTCTTTATTCATTTACTTGTTAAAGATTTTGTCTTTAATAATCTCTACACCCAATGTGGGGCTCAGATTTACAACAGCAAGACCAAGAGTCACATGCTCTATAGACTGAGCTTGCTGGGCACCCCTCCCAATGACATCTTTAGATTTAATACTTTCCGTGCCTCAAGGCTGTAACTCAGGGGAAACTCAAGATGGTAATGAGGACTCTTGTTTGCCATGTGGCTGAGTCATCAGCTTATTACATCCCAATATTTCCACTCATCCCTAAAGCATTACACTGATTTACTACATAGATCAGTCCTCCCACCCATCATGAGGTAATATATTCCCTGACAAAAGTCCCCCTGATATAATGCTAGGTCTGAAAAATGGGGACATAGTATAAAATAAAAAGATGAAATCAGACTGCCAAATGATCTCTATGGACCTTTCACTAATGGCTATAAAATCGTGCAATTTAAACAGAGAAGAACAAAGATAAAGCAGCAATAGAACAAAGCTGGAAGCTAATTTATTTAAACAGAAACCAAAAGACATCGAAACAAAGATTTAGAAAGCTATAATTGTAGGGCGCCTGCGTGGCTCAGTCAGCCGAACGTCCGACTCCTGGGCCCACATCAGGCTCCACATGGAGACTGCTTGGGATTCTCTCTCTGTCCCCAACCCCTAGCTCGAGTGTGCCCTTCTCTCTCTCTCTCTCTCTCAAAATAAATAAATAAACTTTTAAGAAAGCAATAATTATAGAGAATGAAGTTAGAAAAGGCAAAAAGAAAGAGTGGAAACATGATAAAAGAAAGGAAAATATGGAAAGCTATAGTCCTACAGCTCTTAAATCTACTTATTCTTGTTGAACCAAATGCTCACTGTGATGGTATTCTTCTTTTTTTCTCATATAATGTTTATTTATTTTTGAGAGAGAGAATGCAGGGGAGGGGCAGAGAGAGGGAGACACAGAATCCAAAGCAGGCTTCAGTCCCTGAGCTGTCAGCACAGAGCCCGATGTGGGGCTGGAACTCACCAACCGTGAGATCATGACCCGAACTGAAGTCAGACGCTTAACCGACGGAACCTCCCAGGTGCCCCCATGATAGTATTAATCTTACCTCAAGGTGGCGTCTCCAGCTGAAGGCCCTGTTGACCAAGAGATGATTATGTCAAACAACACTCACGCACAACTTTAGCTAAGAAAAAATACTCTGTTTTTCTAAACCTGCAAACCATACCAGAAAATGGGGTTAAAAGATTCTCTCCTGTATTAATTGGATTGGACCCTCAAGAAAAGCAACATTTTTAAGGGCGCTGCCAGAATCTATTTGCCCAATCCCAAACCAAGTGACCCTCCTTAAGGCTCCAGCAAGAATGACTAAGTGCAATGAGACAGTCATTCTTTAGAGGCTCCCATGTGTGATTTCTACAGGCGTTCATAGAATTCTGTACCCCCTTCATCACAGCGATTATTATGCTATATTTTTTATGGAGCTATTGTTTTAATATTTATTTTTTAAAATTTATACCCAAGCCAGGGTGCGTGGGTGGCTCAGTTGGTTGGGCATGCAACTTCGGCTCAGGTCATGATCTTGCTATTCACAAGTTCAAGCCCTGCATCGGGCTCTGTGCTGACGGCTCAGAGCCTGGAGCCTGCTTTGGATTCTGGATCTCCCTCTCTCTCTGACCCTCCCCTGCTCACGCTGTCTCTCTCTCTCTCTCTCTCAGAAATAAATAAAACACAAAAACTTTAAAAAATAAAATAAAATTTACACCCAAGTTAGTTAGCATATAGTGCAATAGGGATTTCAGGGGTAGATTCCAGTGATTCATCCCCTGCGTATAACACCCAGTGCTCATCCCGACAAGTGTCCTCCTTAATGCCCTTTGTCCTTTAGCCCATTCCCCCACCCACAACCCCTCCAGCAACCCTCTGTTCATTCTCTGTATTTAAGAGTCTCTTATGTTTTGTCCCCCTCTTTTTTACATTATTGTTGCTTCCTTTCCATTATGTTCATCTGTTTTGTATCTTAAAGTCCTCATCTGAGTGAAGTCATATATTTGTCCTTCTCTGACTAATTTCATTTAGCATAAACCCTCTAGTTCCATCTGCCTAGTTGCAAATGGCAACATTTCATTCTTTTTGATTGCCGAACAATACTCCATTGAGTATGTGTACCACATCTTCTTTATCCATTCATCCGTTGTTGGACATTTGGGCTTTTTCCATACTTTGGCTATTGTCGATAGCGCTGCTATAAACATGGGGTGCACGTGCCCCTTAGAAACAGCACACCTGTATCTCTTGGCTAAATCCCTACTGGTGCAATTGCTGGGTCATAAGGCAGTTCTAGTTTTAATTTTTTGAGGAACCTCCATACTGTTTTCCAGAGTGGCTGCACCAGTTTGCATTCCCATATCATGCTATATTTTGATTGGTACTTACCTGACCATAATCACAATGAATTGTAAATAATGTAAGATATGGATTATGAAGATCTCATTCTAGACCCTATCATCACACTGCTTGAAACATGTTGGCAATAGATATTTATTGAACAAATGACAATGAGTCTCACTACTATCAGTTACGGGATAGCTAAATATATACATAGAGTGACAGAGACAGAGAGAGAACAATATTATGCAGAGAAACTGGATCTCTCATATATTGCTGGTGGGAATGTATATTGGTACAGCCACTCTAAGAAACAGGCAGTTTCTTAATTACTATTATTTTTTAAGTTTACTTATTTACTTTGAGAGAGGGGAGGGGCAGAGAGAGAATCCCAAGCAGGCTCCATGCACAGTGAGGAGCCTGACACAGGGCTCCATCTCACAACCGAGAGATCATGACCTGATCTAAAATCAAGAGCCGATCGCTCAACCGACACCTAGGTGTCCCAGCAGTTTCTTAATTAAAAAAAACAACCTTAATTAAAAACCTGGATGGCTCAGTTGGTTGATCCTCTGACTCTTGATTTCAGCTCAGGTAATGATCCCAGGGTTGTGGGATCAAGCCCTGCATCGGCCTCCATGCTGAATGTGAAGCCTGCTTGGGATTTTCTCTTTCCCCTTCTCTCTCTGCCCCTCCCTCCCACTCTCTCTCTCTAAAATTAAAAAAAAAATTAATTAAAAAATTTTAAAAATAAAAGCAACAACAATAATTGAAAATGCAACTACCATAAAACCCAGCATTTACTTCAGAGGCATGAAAATGTAGGCTCCCACAAAGGCTGTATGCAAATGCTTCTATCGGTTTGATTTGTAATATCTAAAAACTGGCATCGACCTAGATGTCCAGATGTTAAACCATCTATGGTAAATCTATACCATGGAATACTATTTAGCAATAAAAAAGGAACAAACTCTTGATACATGTAATAATCTGGATGAATCTCCAAGGAATTATCCTTGAGAGACAGGGGTACAATCTCTAAACGTTGCATTCTGCATGATTCCATTTATCTAACATTTTGAGTGACAAAATTTTAGAAGTGAGGAGAGATCAGTGGTTCTCAAGAACTAAGAACAAGGGTGGGTCAGGAGGAAGGAGGGGTTGGTTATAAAAGTTGTTATAACAGTCTCTGTACTGTTAGAATTTTCAGATATGACCATGGTAGTGAATACACAGGTGACAAAATTGCATAAAAGTAAATACACACAGAGGCACCTGGGTGGCTCAGTTGGTTACACAGCCGACTTGATTTCGGCTCAGGTCATGATCTCATGGTTTGTGAGTTTGAGCTCCCACGTCTGGCTCTCAGCTAACAGCTCAGAGCCTGGAGTCTGCTTCGAATTCTGCCTCCTTCTCTCTCCCTGCTCCTCCCCCTCACACTCTCTCTTTCAAAAATAAACATTTAAAAAAAAGAAAAAAGAATGAAAGAAACAGCCAAGAGCCCTATTTGGTCCCTGTGCCCACTAATTTGCAGTCACAGAGCAACATGATACCAAGAATGGCCAAAAAGAGGCTACAGCAGGTAAGACACCCTGAAACCTGGCAGATTTACAGTCTGTGCAGGGAAGGTGTGGGAGGGGTTCACTCATTCACCCTTCCAACAAATGTTAAGGAGGAGCTTACTCAGTATTAGGTACAGGAACAGGGAACAAAACGAATCCTTACCTTTATGCTCGTGGAGTTTATATTCAAAGCCATGGGTTTTATTCAAAGTATATGGGAAGGCTTTGGAGCATATAAGGGCAATTCAAGTTCAAGTACTGAATTTTAGAGGCCCGTGTCTCTTGAGACTCAGAGCTTTGAGGACAAAATGGGCACTGACCTCGCCCGAATTGAGAATACTCATGGTGCAGAATTCTAAAACTCAGAGAGCAGAAATGCAACGCATTTATTTTATTTGGAGAAACATGGACATTTATTCTGGCAACAAAAGTCACATTAAGGGTTTGCTGCTTGGTTACTTGAAAGCTAAAATTTGCCTGGGGAAGTGAGAGAAAAGGATCATAAATCAAAAGGCTCCGCTATCATCACCAGTCTCTCTTTTCCAAGAGAGAGGAGACACCAAGCAAAAAGGTCCACTCACAAGATATGGTTTCTCAGTGGATCCGACTGCCACCTCTGAGGGGAAATGGCCATATGGGGGGAGACGCAAGCAGGAGGTTCAGTCCATCCTCCGGACCAAACCGGAGGTGGTGTTTTTAGATCAAGAAGAGTCACAAGACTTGGGAGACACTTCCTCCAAAGCAGGAGGCATTTTGCCCAGAGCTGAGTGTGTGTGTGTGTGTGTGTGTGTGTGTGTGTGTTGAGGGGTTCAGAGTGTGCCACTGAGGCATAAAAGCTATTTGGATCTGGGACACCTGGGTGGCTCAGTTGGTTAAGCATCTGACTCTTGAATTCTGCTCAGGTCATGATCTCACGGTTCGTGGGATTGAACCCTGAGGAGCCTGCTTGGGATTCTCTCTCTGTCCCCCTTCTGAAAATAAATAAACTTTAAACAAGATTTTCAAAACCTATTTGGATCTGAAGAAATTTGAAAGTAGGGCCTCTTGGGGCACCTGGGTGGCTTAGTCAGTTAAGCATCCGACTTCAGCTCAGGTCATGCTCTTGAGGTCTCTGGGGTTCGAGCCTCGTCGGGCTCTGTGCTGACAGCTGGGAGCCTGGAGCCTTTTTCAGATTCTGTGTCTACCCCCCTGCCCCTCCCCTGCTCATGCCCTGGTGTCTCTAGCTCTCAAAAATAAATAAAACATTAAAACATTAAAAAAAAAAACAAAAACAAAAGAAAATAGACCCTCTCCCACCGAAATCCCTTATTTTTCCTACAGGCAGAATCCTCCAAAGGAACTCAAAAGAAATCAATGGTCATAAATCCTATCCCCTGAAATAACCAGGAGAGATGGACTCTTACCACTCAAGATACACAGACACACAGCCATTGTCACAAAACCATTGTATGTCGATCTATTCTTCTCAGAGCCCATCTATCATTCCTAAAAGTCTGTTTTCCCTTAACAGCCCTTCTGTCTCTCTGCTTTTCTTATTAATAAGGTATATAAGGGGCGCCTGGGTAGCTTAGTCGGTTAAGCGTCCGACTTTCGCTTAGGTCATGATCTCGCGGTTCATGGGTTCGAGCCCCGCGTAGAGCTCTGTGCTGACTGCCAGCTCAGAGCCTGGAGCCTGTTTCAGAGTCTGTGTCTCCCTCTCTCTCTGACCCTCCCCTGCTCACGCTGTCTCTCTCTCTCTCTCTCCTAGAAATAAATAAAAATATTTTTAAAAAAAAGGTATATAAGCCTCAAATTCTAACCACTCTTTGAGTCATGTTTTTTTGAATTCTTGTATGAATTTTGTCTTTTCTTCTATTCATCTGTCTTTTGTTAGGTTAATCTACAGGCACCCAACAACGAACTCTAAGAGGGTAAAGGAGAAGTTTTTCCTCCACAGCTGTGTGTCTGTATGTGTGTGTGCGAGCGCGCACATGTGCCTACTATGTCTGCTTGTGCATTTGTACTGGATGGTAGAGAGGTTCCCCAAAAGGGAAGTATGCATAGCACACTTTCCTGGAAATGAAAAATAGTTCTAGCTGGAGTGTGGGACCTTTAAAAAGAGAAATTAGCCAGATGTACAGAAAAAGGACAGTCAGTGGGGCACCTGGGTGACAGTCGGCTAAGCGTCCGACTTCGGCTCATGGTCATGATCTCGCAGTTTGTGAGTTCAAGCCCTGCTCAGGGCTCTGTGCTGACAGCTTGAGCCTAGAACCTGCTTCAGATTCTGTGTCTCCCTCTCTCTGCCCCTCCCCTGCTCACCCTCTATCTCTCTCAAAAATAAATAAACATTTAAAAATTAAAAAAAAAAAAAAGAGGACAGAGTCAGGAAGTGTAACTTGAGAATAAACTTCTCATCCTTTAAAAGGATGTATGGGGAATTTCAGCACTGAGATGGGGGTAGAAGAGGGTGACTAATACCCTGGAATGGGTGCTTCTCAGACCTTAATCCACATTGGGGCCTTTGAACCTGCTGGTCCACTCAGAGGGAGCCCAGTAGAAGCAGGGACCATACCTGTAGAAGAAGCCATATTGTTTTAAGTTTATTGATTTATTTTGAAAGAAGGAGGGCACGAATAGGGGAGGGGGCAGGCAGAGAGAAGGAGAGAGAGGGGTGGGGGGGAGAGAGAATCTGCCAGCGCAGAGCCTAACAAGAGGCATGAACTCAGGAACCATGAGATCATAACCTGAGCTCAAATCAAGAGTTGGACACGCAAACGACTGGCCCACCCAGACCCCCCTATAAGAAGGTCATATTGATGACATGAGGACACTGGTGAAGCAGCAGTGAGAGCCCTCAGAAAGGGAGAATGAGATATAGTCTCAGTATCTACCCCTCCAATTGCATTATTTAATTGTAATTAAACAAATTTTTAAAAATGTTTACTTACTTTTCAGAGAGAGAGACAGTGCAAACAGGGGAGGGGCAGAGAGGGAGGGAGACACAGAATCTGAAGCAGGCTCCAGGCTCCAAGCCGTCAGCACAGAGCCCATCACCGGGCTCGAACTCATGAACCATGAGATCATTACCTGAGCCAAAGTCGGACACTTAACCGATGGAGCCACCTGAGCACCCAATGTATCTATTCCTTCAATTCAAGACAATGATACCAGCCACATGATGGGACGGTTTGAGGGATAAAACACACCACCCACCTTCAGTGAAAAGTCCAGGATAACTAAATAATGCCTTTAGTCTTTCCCCCAGCAGGCCCCTCACAGGAGACTTTTAACAGAGAAAAAGAACAGTGGAGAAGGGGTGCCTGGGTGGCTCAGTCAGTTAAGCGTCTGACTTTGGCTCAGGTCATGATCTCATGGTTTGTGAGTTTGAGCCCCACATCAGGCTCTGTGCTGACAGCTCAGAGCCTGGAACTTGCTTCAGATTCTGTGTCTCCCTCTCTCTTCCCCCAACCCTCCGCCTGCTCATGCTCTGTGTTTCTCTGTTTCAAAAATAAACATTAAAAAAAGGCTTTCTTTTCTTTAAGATCATTTATTTATTTTTTAAATTAATTTTTGACAGAGAGAGGGAGAAAGACACATTGTGAGCAGGGGAAGGGGAGAAGGAGAGAGAGAATCCCAAACAGGCTCCTCACTGTCAATGCAGAGCCCGATGTGGAATTCAATCCCATGAACTGCGAAAGAAATCTGAACCTGAGCTGAAATCAAGAGTCAGACCTTCACCGACTGAGCCACCAGGCACCCTGTTGCTATTTTAAACTGTTATTTAACAGTTGTATTTTTTACTGAATTTTTTATTATGGTGAAACAAGCATCGATTTGGTGTCATTTGATCAAAATCATTTGTGGATGTGAATAGTTAGTATTCATAATAATAATAAATCCTGTTTAAGAATAATATGAATATATTGGGGCACCTGGGTGGCTTAGTTGGTTGAGCAGCCGACTTCGGCTCAAGTCATGATCTCCTGGTTGTGGGTTCGAGCCGCCCGTGAGGCTCTGTGCTGACAGCTGGGAGCCTGGGGCCTGTTTCGGATTCTGTGTCTCCCTCTCTCTCTGCCCCTCCCCTGCTCATTCTCTGTCCCTCTCAAAATAAATGAAGGTATTTAAAAAAAAAAGAGTATGAATATATGAACAAATAGGAAAGATGAAAACCACTCAAGGACACAAGCATAGGCAGGACACACGCACACACACACACACACACAGAATCTCTGCACTTTTCATGAATATAGAGCTTGCCAGCCCCCCGGTCAGTTTTACCTTTGTCAGTGGCCATGGTGCTCCGTCACTGAACTTTTCCCCCTGGAACTGTGCCTTGTGCTGATCGCTCTTACCAACCACATGCCTGAACATCGTAGGTGTGACCACTGATACCTGGCTTGCAAAGAAGATGACTCAGTCCTGAGACTCGGGCAGTTACCAGGTATCTAGACTGTACAAACCAGGAGCAGATTAAGAGGGAAGGCGGTGTGGGTATCTGCATTAATGTGTTGATAAGAAAGCTTATGATTCTGTAGAGTAAGTCACGGAGGATATCCACATTTCTACGTTCTTCCCTGAACTTAGAAGTTTCTAACTTCCCTTTTTTAAAAATTAAAGTTCAGACAAGAGCGACTAATCATTCTTCATGAGGGAGGGTGAAGGAAGAACAAAGGGAAGAGAGAATTGACAGGTTTTAGAACCAGAAGACTTTCAACTTTACCTGACCAAGACCCTGTAGACTTACCCTTTCGTGATTATTTACTTATTTCTAACTTCCTCTTATTTTGCTCTTTGCCCCCAGTCCTGTTGGAATGGGGAGGGACACCGATAGATGCAAGATCAGAAGGACTTTAGCCTCTGAGTTGGGTAATTAGTATATAAGTCCTAGGTGATCTCTCCTCCTACGTAAGCTAAGGTTAAGTGTACGGTCCACTCCTGCTGCTTATCCTTCTTGAGAAAGTAAATACTGTGCTCCCATTGCCATTGCTTCCTGTTGCCTGAACCTTGGCTTACGCATCTCTGAGTTTCAGCACACACTTCCAGGATTGAGGTCATTTTCATGACCTAAGGCTCCCTCCCTCTAGGGTCTCAGATCTAGAGCTTCTGAACTTTGAATCTCAAAGACCATCAACCCTATTATACCTAAGCCCTATATATAAGATCTTCCTTAGTTATGAAAGTCCAACTAGAACCTCCACAAGATAAAGTAGTTGCTTTGAGTGGCAGTTAAGAGTTACAAAGAAGAGGGGCACCTGGTGGCTCAATCGGGTGAGTGTCTGACTCCAGCTCAGGTCATGATCTTGTGGTTCATAGGTTCGAGCCCCTGTGTCAGGCACTGGGCTGACAGCTCAGAGCCAGGAGCCTGCTTCAGATTCTGTGTCTCCCTCTCTCTCTATGCCTTCCCTGATCACATTCTGTCTCTTTCTCTCTCAAAAAAAAAATGAATAAACATTTTTAAAAATTAAAAAAAAAGAGTTATGAAGAAGTGGAAGAAGTGCCACATCATAAATGAAGGTCCTTCAGAATCCCAGTGTTTCTTCTTTTTGTTTTTAAACTTACTTTCTTTATTTTTTTGAGAGAGAGAGAGCATGAGCAGGGAAGGGACAGAGAGATTGAGAGGGAGAAAGAATCTCAAGCAAACTCTGCGGTGTCAGTGGACAGCCCAATGCAGGGTTCAGAGTCACAAACCGTGATATCGTGACCTGAGCTGAGTCAGATGCTTAACCAGCTGAGCTACCCAGGGGCTGCAGGAGCCAAGTGTTTAAAAGTTATATGTCTTTCGAGTAGAATAAGAGCCCCCCAGAGATGTCCACATCCTATAACACCTGGAACCTTACAATGTGGTACCTTACAATGGCATAAGGGACTTTCCAGGTGCAATTAAGTTAAGGATCTTGAGGTAAGAAGATTACCTCAGTCTAATCAAGAATACCCTTATGGGAGTGATGCAAAAGAATCAGAGTCAGAGGAGGATGCCTGGGTGGCTCAGTCAACCAAGCGTCAGTCCGACTCTTGTTTTCAGCTCAGCTCATGAACTCACAGGGATGGAGCCCCACAGTTGAGATCTGCACTGGTAGCATGGAGCCTACCTGGGATTCTCTCTCCCTCTCTCTCTGCCTCTCCCCTCCCTCTCCTCTCACACTTTCTCTCTCTCTCAAAAAATAAATACATAAACTTTAAAAAATTTATAAAAAAATAAAAAGAAAATAAAATTTAGACCCGACCTGATTACGGAATGCATCATTTTACGGCAAACTACCCGAAGGCAGAGCTATGCCTTTTTTTCTCCCTTTCAAGGCATTCAATAAATGTCAAACTGAATTGCAATGAATTAAGCTGACAGTGAAATTCCAAACCAAAGTGGCCTGTGAATGAAGGGACAGGCCTTCTCATAAATAAGAGCGCTCGGAACAAGCGGTGTTACACCTCGGTGCGTGACTTATTTCTATATTTGGAACAAGAAGTCCTACCTTGTGCCATTCTGCCCAAATCAGCGCACAAAACCTGACTTACAGGGCACAAGCCTCTTTGTAGACTAATTGAACAGTCGTTTACTGGAAGAGCAGAGAAGAAGGCAGCGGGTGTCCCAAAGCCACGAAGCCAGTTCGTCTCTAGCCTGGGGCATGACGGCCTCAGGAGAAAACTTGATTAACTCAGGAGGGAACAAAGGTGCCCACAGCATCAGAACGACAAGCAGAAGGGCATAGCCACTCTCCTTTTAATAATTTTAAGTACCTTTTACAAATAATATAAATGGGGGCCCCGGAGTGGCTCAGTTAGTGGAGCGGCTGACTGGCTCAGGCCATGATCTTGCAGTTTGTGAGTTCGAGCCCTGCATCGGGCTCTGTACTGACAGCCTGTCAGCGAAGAGCTGTCTTCAGATCCTGTCTCCTCCTCTCTCTGGCCCTTCCTTGCTTGTGCTTTCTCAAAAATAAATGTTTCTAAAAAATAAAATAAATTGGTTTAGGTCAAATGCCTGTTTTAAAATAAAAAATAAATAATAGTAAAATAAGTAAAAATAATATAAGTGTATTAAACACAGAACCCAAATCAAAATCCTTAGTGGAGTAAGGAAAGCCAGCAGTCACACTTCCGTTCAGTGTAGACGCGAATTTAGCAATGCAGCCTCCGGAATTGTGGTCAGTTAGGCTTTTGATACCTTCCTGCAATGAGCCCAAAGAACTCAAGGTTTAAAGAAAGGCTAAGAAAGGAAGGTAGGTCTTCCACAGGCTAATGTCAGGAGAGCAGGAGCCTTTTAGTCAATGTCAAACTCAGTAAACAGGAGCAAAGTCAAGTTTCCAAAGTGGGGTGCATACAGTTAGGGGATGTGAATCTTGAAGCATCCTGGGGGGAGGGACAGGTAGAAGATATTAGAACTTCTACCCTGAAACACTGAGGTAAGAGAAGAAAGCATTAGAACTTCTGATGGTGCAACGGACGAATGGATCAAGAAGATGTGGTTTATCTATATGATGGAATACTACATGGCAATGAGAAAGAATGAGATCTGGCCATGTGTAGCAACATGGATGGACCTTGAGGGTGTTATGCTGAGCGAAATAAGTCAGTCAGAGAAGGACAAATATCATATGTTTGCACGTATAGGAGGATCAGGAGGAACTTAACTGAGGACCATGGGGGAGAAGAAGGGCGGAAATGGTGGGGGAAAGGGAGAGAAGCAAACCATGAGAGATTCTTGAATGCTGAGAAACAGACTGAGGACTGATGGATGTGGGGGGGAGGGGAGAGATGGGCATGGAGGAGGACACTTGTGGGGACGAGCACTGGGTGTTGTATGGAAACCAATTTGACAATAAACTATTTGTAAAAAAAAAAAAGTAAGAAAAAAGAACTTCTGATGGTGTTTATTTTATGTAGGGACACCTGGGTAGCTCAGTCGGTTAAGAGTCTGACTTCGGCTCAGGTCATGATCTGATGGTTTGTGGGTTCGAGCCTCAACTCAGGCTCTGTGCTGACAGCTCAGAGCCTGGAACCTGCTTTGGATTCTGTGTCTCCCTTGCTCTCTACCCCTCCTCTCCTCAAAAATAAACATTTTTTAAAAAAGAACTTGTATTTATTTTATCTAAAAGTAAAACTTTAGGAGCACCTGGGTGGCTCAGTCAGTTAAGTGTCTGACTCTTGGTTTCGGCTCAGGTCATGACCTCATGATTCCTGAGTTCGAGCCCTGCATCGGGCTCTTGGACTGACAGCGTGGAGCCTCCTTGGGATTCTCTCTCTTCCCCTTTCTCTCTCTGCCTCTCCCCTGCCCTTTGTCTCAAAACAAATAAATAAACTTTAAAAATAAATAAGAGTAGGGGCGCCTGGGTGGCTTAGTCGGTTAAGCGTCCGACTTTCGCTTAGGTCATGATCTCGCGGTTCGTGGGTTTGAGCCCCGTGTCGGGCTCTGTGTTGACTGCCAGCTCAGAGCCTGGAGCCTATTTCAGAGTCTGTGTCTCTGAGTCCCTCTCTCTCTGACCCTCCCCTGCTCACGCTGTCTCTCTCTCTCTCCTAGAAATAAATAAAAATATTTTTAAAAAATAAATAAATAAATAAATAAGAGTAAAACCTTAATATGAGTATTTTCAAATCTGCACAATAGAATAATATGATACCTAACATGTGAGTTGTGAATAGTTAAATATTCATATACTGGGGTATATGCTAATATTTTTCACTTGTACGTATTCAAATATACTTAAGCCAAATGTGCTAGATTTGATGCTCTATGAAAAAAATGACCATCTGTTGTTATTTCCCAGGACCTAGTGCAGTAACTGGCATGTAAGAGACATTCACTGACTCTCAGTTCTGGAGGGCAGAGGGCAGAGGGCAGAGGCAGTCATGGCTGGAGGAGCCGGTGGGGAGTCCCCAGCAGGGTGTGGTGGCTGGTGTCAGGCGCTGTTTCCCTCAGGGCCATACGAACATGTCGCTCTATGCCATGTTCTCCTTGGCCAGGTGGCAAACTGCTTCAGCAGCTGCTGGGAGGGGGCCAGACCAACTGGGGACGACATGGCACAGCCACAATGGCCGTGGCCTTCCCCATTAGCCTCAACTACACATGGCTGCACCTGTTGGAGAATGCATTGCCATGTCAAGGTGTTGTGTGACCAGGTACTCAGTGCCCATGGTCATCTGGGTCTTCAACACCAGGGAAAGGATGACGGGTTTTGGCACTTGAAACAGAAATTCTGGAACACATGGAAAAGTGGACTCATGTACTGGCCCTTTGAGCCATTATCAGCCTTGTGCCTGTTCACTGGGAAACAAAGCTCACTAGACTCTGGTTTTCTCCGG